TGGATGAAACATCGATGGGTATGTATCAATTCGAAAGAAGATATGCTCTATGCTGTATGCTCTATGCAGAGGGCTATGGTATTATGCACTCTGCTGTGCCATATATATACATCCTTGCAGTATGACGTCATCATCGGCAACATCACAGCATGGGGGGTAATAAGAAACATACGGCTGCTGCTTTTCCACAGAACGTCTAGTGGCAGTTCTCAGTCTAAACAACCATCAATCACTGAGGCCTGCGGGGTCCTAAGATGGCTACGATAATTACACTGGGACGTGACGATTCGAGCTAGACTGGTACGCACGTTAACTCGGCCAAGTCTGTTTCGCTACACCAACGTTATATTTAGTCAAGCGTCTGAAACTCTCCACCGCGCAGCAGTCTAAGCCGAATCGCCGGTCGTGGTGTGGAAAATTCTGTGGAAAATCCCTCGAAGAGAGCCTCGTCGCGCCATCTATGGGACGCCATATGTACGAGAATAAGTTCAGGGCGTAAAATTCAATAAATTGAAAATCGCTTTTCTACAGGAAAACCTAAAGCGCCCACCATAAAACTACCAATTACGAGCACTCGGATTTATTCTCGCCCTAAGTGCAGAGTCGAAAGGCTTCTGCAATCGCCACAACTCCTCAATTGACCGATTATCCGGCTTTCTGTAGTACCCAGAGGGCTTCGAGTAGTTAGTTCTACATACAGGGCAGCGAATTGGATGAAAAGGCACCGCGAGGCGGCGCTGTTCGCGCTTCGCGCGTATATCCGGGCTGCAGATCGTCTATATTATATTATAGAGATCAGTGAAGCAGACGCACTCCGAAATTCACGCGACATTCTTGGACAGGCTCAGACGAGGACGACGATGAAACTCCGCATGTAGCCGGACAAGCAATGCCTGCTTCCAGCGACATGTCACGCAAGACGAAGAAAGAAGAGTCGGATACAATTGTTCGGGTTCCGATTCGGATTCGAAATTCGGATTCGGAAGAAAGAAGAGATCGCGAGCGCCAGTTAATGTAAGCGGGCTATATATAGTACTACAGCTATAGTCTCTACGATATTCCTAGGCCGAGATATTGCAGCGTAATCATGTCTCCCACAGGCCTCAGTAGAATAATATATATTGCCGTGAAATTGGACTATTTCCCCCTTTTTCCGTTGTGGTGTTTATTAGCTCTTGATACATATACATATATATACATCAGTACTATGTTATAAGAGCAGAATAATTCCTTAATATAGTAACGATTAGAACTATTAGTCAGTCTACGGAAATATGAAAGTTCATGTTTAATTGGAACCGTTTGTTACTATCTGTACTACTCTACTATTAAATTCTCTACTACAAGTAGGGCGCCTACAGAGTTTGTTAGTAGTTAGTACAAGTACAGTAGACAGTTCTAAGTTGAGTTATCCTGTTTGTGTTAGTTTGAGATTTGTAGAATTCTATTGCTTAGTTGACTGAATATAAGCCACATATAGAAGCGTGTTATGCTAGTGTTAGGATGAACATATCGTATTATAAAAGGCTTAGAATACCAAGTACAGGAATGTAGGTTTATTTTCATAACAGTACCTGACAAAACCATGACTACTATTCCACGTTAATTATACACACAGACACTCGATTCTATATTAACCAGGGTGATTCGAACTCCGTATAAGTAAAGTTGAGTTTCTAATTTGATATTTAGCAAACGTCAAATTCAAATCATCTTCGTTTGAAAAGGGGAGGGATTGTAGTGTTTAACCCTGAGGTTAGCTGAAACGTAAACTAACCGTTCGACGAACGTAAACAGAAAGGTTTTGCGTATACACTGCGAGGGGATTGGCATGAGCTTGTGAATACAGCAGCATGGTGGTTGGAACCGATTTTCTTGTGTGAGGTATCGTGACTGTTAAGTTTAGGTTAGGTTTTGCAATTTTATTACGTGCCCTGCATTCGATGCCACTCGACCATTCTAAATCGTCTCTTCTATTTTTCAGTTACTTGAAATTTTTACCATAATCCATACATCACTATATGTTTCCAAGCTCTCAATTAATCATGGTACATCGTAACAGTAAATTATTATAATAGTCTATTATACTATTCTAACTGCCAGTTATCATATTATAATGCCTACCCTACCCCCATCATTTCACAATTGAAATATATGGCAATTCAATGATGTCACAAAAATGAGCAACCCATTTTAGCAAGGTACTATTGTTCATTCTGTCATTTACAATTTGTTTTAGCATCAACCTATGGGTGTCGCCGCCGAGTTAGTCGTCTTAGTGCTTTTCAAGAAATACAGCATGGACATTTTACTTGCATGCTGCTATTAGCTGCATTACATGCTGCATGCTAATAATTGGTACAATTGGTGGTAATACATTACTATATGGTATGTTAGTCACAAGTAAATTTATACATGATTCGGTACCTGATACCGATTCGGATTCGAATTTCGGATTCGGAAGAAAGAAGAGAGCGGCAGTTAATGTAAGCGGCAGTAATGAAAGTCGAAAAGTCTCAGCTCTTTCATTCGATTCTTCCTAAAATTATCGACTGCTCGCTGGCAGCTATGGATCCGTGCGCCGGCCTACGCACTCGGCGCACGGATCCATAGCTGCCAGCGCTGCATACTGTCGTACGACGTTCCCGAGGACGCGTCCGACGACGTTTCCGAGGTCGCGTGCGCCTTGCCGCGGAACTGCGCGCAAGATCTGCGCTCAGCGCTTCGGATCAACACCTCCTTTCGGCAACGCTTCTCTAGTATCCCGTCTCATCTGGATTGTGATTTTCAAGTAAAATCAGGAGTGAATAATGACAAATTTTTGACCTGCATCTTCACCTATACCATTGCCTCAATGTTAGTGGGAAATCAGCATCTTCACCAACATGATTACCTTAACGTTTGTTAGAAACCAGCATGTAGCTACCATTCCCTTTCTCATTTTCTCTTCCTAGCCTCTCATCCCTGTCTCTACAAAGTTGCAGCGTACCTTCGCACTCTCTCCTTCTCATTGTGATACTCCTGCCGCTCACTGTTTGGTTGAGGTGATATGACTGTATGAGGGTCTTCATCTCGTTGGTCGACTAGCTGGGTGATAGCGCTGCTAAGGGGAATGAGGGAGCTGTCATCAGGCTCCGAGCAGTCTGCTGATGAACAAGTGTACTCCTCACCGCTGCTGTTCAACTGCCGAGTACAACTGTAGCCATGGTGACCAAGCTTCTGCAAACAAGCGGTTATGCCGTAGACAGCAATTGGTGAATAGAATTTGGCTAATTAATCATAAACATAGTCGCGTGTCCTAGTTATATGCTTTTGAACAGTGACAGTGAATGCACAGTTTGATGAGTAGCTTGCCCCCCCCCCCTTACAGTGGCTTGAGTGGATGTATACTATACCTCACTGCTGCTGCTGCTGAAGCTAGTATTGGTGTGAATTGCATCATCATGTAGTGACTCTGTTAGCCGTCCTGAGCTACGGAATACACAGCGGCGCTTTATCCTATTTGTCGGTGAATTGACGAGACATGGTGGCTGCGGTTTGTCTCTTCCCCAGCCACTAATGTTGATTGCAGGTGCAGCAGCATTTGCAGAAGATGACGTACTTGTACTCTGAATGATGCGAAAGTGACTGTCCTCCTGATCAGGATACATATTGATCCATCAATGTACAAGACTGCCATGTTTATGTATCCTGGAAAGCTTCCAACTGCAGCAAATACGGTATACCAGACTCTACAGTGTGTAATCAAACGAAGCCAAAAGAATCCAAATAGATTTCCCACGTTGATTTGTGTCTACCTGGTGATGCTGACTTGGCCATTCCATTTCATCAACACCTGGTGAGTCACAGCTGCTTCTTGTGTCTCTACGTGACGGATGATTGACCCTGTAGCATAACAAAGATCAATACATATTAAAATGCTAGTAGCATTGTTTCGCAAAATTATTTAGAACGTTACACATCATCAAACAGTTGTTTATGGGTTATTGATATCATGACTGCTGACACACGGTGTAGCTATAGGTGCTCGTTTTAGATCTTGCAGTTTCCAATGGTAATCATATACATCAGGAGTAGATAATAGGGAACTATTATCTACTCCCTATCTATTCCCTATTATCTACTCCTGAGTCCTGATATACATGTAGTGTGCAAAAATTACAAGACAAATGTCAAATATGATAAATATCTTAAAACAGGCCCGTAGCCAGGGGGGGTTCGGGGGTGTTCGAACGAACCCCCCCCCCCGAGCCCCCCAAGCAAAAAATTTCTTTTTTTGAAAATTTGCAAGAATTTCACCTCAGGTCGCTCCATTCTAGTGTAATAAATGCAAAATCTCCATCGTGCGGGAGGGTGAACAGTGAACACCCCCCTCCCACACCCTCCCCTCACTCGGTCGCTTGGCTCCCTCGCCTGGTCGCTTCGCGCCCGAGCAGGGGCGTGTACAAGGGGGGTCCAGGGAGTCCGGACCCCCCCTTGCTCGAGCAGAAAACGCATCTGAGGGGGTCTAATTTTAAAAATTTTATGGGGGAGGGACCCCCAGACCCCACCTTCGCGTGCTCGCAACTTTGGGTTACGGTTAGACCACCCCTGGTACAAATCCTGTACACGCCCCTGCCGGGCAAATTGCCAACATTGAAAAACGAACTCCCTCCAATATAAAGCTGGCTACGGGCCTGCTTAAAACACATATCACATGTAACACACCCAGTCGCAATAGGGATAATGAGATTAGAGTATGACTTGTGGTTCCAACCCCTTTATTCATGTTGCATTAGATGCTTAAAGTAGGTGCACTTTACCCAGGGGCGTAGATAGCGGGGGGGATGGGGGGGATGCATCCCCCCCGCACTTATTCTGGGGGATGGCCGTGTACAATCATCCCCGCCCTACTTTCAGGAGGAAAATGGGGGATTCAACATTTTTGGGAGGACCCGCATAACCCGTAACCCCCGCATGTTCTTACCACCCTCCCCGAAATCCTGCATGGCCACTGTCGAGCGTAACAAATTTAGCACCCCCACTTCAAACACTTTCCGCGCGGCCTGTAGAGTACTGCTAACAAAGATTATGCTTAAGAATATTGTATGCATATCAAAACAAAATTTGAGTTCATCTGACAGGGGCGTAGATAGCGGGGAGATGGGGTATATCCCCACACTTATTGGAGGTGGTTGGCTTTCATCACCCCCTACTTTCAGGAAGAAAAATGGGGAAAAATTTAATATTTTACAGACAATAAATACTGGATATATTATCTACAAATCCGTCATCGCTATTCATACTCTCCTAATGTATTATTACAGAAATGGAATTTGAAATACATCTCCTGTAAAATGGCTGTAATTCGTCCAAGAATGACATATATTTACTGAAACCAGACGGTTAATTTTGGACGCATTCCCATATACGATTTTTTTTTCAAAATTCCCAAATCACGTCCTCAAATTATTTAAAAAAAGAATTATCTCATTTATTCAAAATTAGAATAGACCTATTGAGAGTTGATATTGCATTTTTTAGGGGGTTGAATGAGAAATTCAATTTCATCTCACTTTTGTGGAGGGGGATGGGATGGGGTGCTGAGACTGACCGGAAGTATATCCCGATTTGTATAAGGGGTGAAAATATGCACTATTTGGTTCAAAATCTGGTTGTTTTTCTCATATCTTTTGCGATTTAAGGTTCTCACTTCTCAGTAAAATATCTTTTATCAAATTCAAGGAGATGATTCTAGTGCTGTAGTTGTCAACGGGGGTCGGTAGCACAGGGGCGGTCGCCCCCTCCCACTAGAATTTTCAGGGTAAAGGTATTTTAGCCTAGGTAAGTCTGCACGGCAACCCCAGTGAGACATGTACATGTATAGCACAGATTTGGTAGTAAGCATTTTAGTCTTTGGTGCCCAAAGGTAAAAATACTCAACTCAACAGTGATGTTATTGTGATGTAGATTGTTTAATATGTGCGCCTCATAGTGCAGGAAATTGCATCGAAGAGGTGTTCCTTTCAACAAATTTCGGGAGGTCCCCTGGACCTCTCCTAAACAGGAGGGGACATGCACCACCTGAAGGAGGAAAAATCCTGATATTTATGATAAAGATGTCCAAAATGATTGCTTTTAGATTGCAACTTTTTAACAATCCCACACAGTGCGCGCTTCGTGCCCTTGAGCTCGCATAATTCGCCCCCGCCTAGAATTTACTTCTGGATCCGCCACTGGTTTGTGTGTGGGGGGGGGTGCGTGGTTAAACTCTGGATCCAAAGAAAAAAATACCCTCGAATTCACAAAATTGCACTTACAATGTCAATTTTTTCAATTACCTCAAAAACGACCATCTTGAAGTTCTAAATTGCTAAAATCCAAGAGCTTCGGGGCTCCGCCCTGGACACCGGGCAAGGGCTCTGCCCCTGCACCCCGCCAGGGCCCCTACGGCGCCCCTGGTCCCCACCCATTAAGGGCTTTGCGCCAAGGCTCTCCGCGTGTGCACAGGCACTTGGACGTTTCAATAATAAATGATGGTTAATAAATACAACTTGTCAGTAGCCTACTACTACAGTACCAGCAATAGTCTCTAATGTTTGATTTGACCTAATAACTTCACTTCAACACCGTTAAATACACCGATGCAACACATAGCCGCACGCCATTGTGCATGCACAGATACACAGTAGATAGGAGCTACTATGCTCCTATCTACTGGTATCTGTGCATGCACAATGGCGTGGCGGGCTATTTGGCATCGGTGTATTTAACGGTGTTGAAGTGAAGTTATATAGTCAACACAACGTTGTTTAAGACTATTGCTGGTACTGTAGTAGTAGGCTACTGACAAGTTGTATTTATTAACCATCATTTTATTATTGAAACGGTCCAAGTGCCTGTGGCGGTGTGCGCTACTCGCACACAGTCTTCATATACATTATGATGGAGGTAACAGCGAAATCATCCCCCCACAACTGAGGACCTGTCTACGCCACTGACTTTACCTAAGACTACACCCAAATGTCCCGAGAGTTGAAGTCACACCATTATTTAAATGAAATACATGTGGCAACTCTTGCTGTAAAGATGCTGACGTTTTCAAATAAGGCTGCACATTCTCATCTATAGTCACTGCAGACAGTGTGGCCGACTTGCTTTTCACCAAGATATGTTGCAAGCTGCTGTTGTTGGTCGAGTTTGTGGCTTCTCTATCTGTCAGCAAATCTACAAACTCTTCTTCATTGCAGTTATGAAACGGCATGACCTTGAGTTTCTTCATGCCATCATCATAGAAATTACTACTCGCCAATGCACGAACTGCCACTGGTAATGAAATATGTTGCAAAATATCCATCTGTAAAATACAGGAATGCAGAAATGTATAGTAAGTATTTAGGAAATAATAAACTATGATAAAGACATTACAGGGAAAGTTTGGCAGCGCTTGAAGTTTAATTATCACCTCGGATTGGGCAGACCATAGATACTACCCCAAGTAGTATTTGGGGTAGTAATTAGTATCTGTACTATAGCCTAGTGACGAACAAGGGCTATAGTACTTAGTAGGGTACTAGCAGACCACAAAAGGGTGGGAAACTACAATAGGCCTAATCGTATGATATGAAATGAATGACAATGTCTAAGAATTATTTAGAATAGTTATTCGTAAGCTATGATGTAATTTCTGCTCGTGGTTCTAAATTCTCTCACTATGAGGATTACAATGAATGCTAATTCGGTGTTTCAATATGTGCTGTATTCCATCATAGATTAAAGAATACTATTACTTAGAAGAAAGAGCTATATATAGGTCGAGGTAATAATATCACACACCTCACAGAAGGTACTAGACAGTCTGCAGCCGGATATCCGCGCGAAGCGCGCCAACGCCGGCTGGCGGCGATCTAACACGACTTCGCTGCCCCCACTCCATCACCTTATAGTACAGTCGGTTAGGTCAGAATATCATCTAAATCGTTCAAATTGTGAAAAAAGTGTGAAAATTGGTACACTTGCAAACTTTTGTATGCTCTTTCATTTAAAAGCAGGACACACGCGATCCACCTACAACTTCGGCCGTCATCTTGAATTCAAAAATGTCCGCCGTCATTTGTTAAAGGGATTACGTCACGAATTTTCTATGGTAAAATTTGTAAAAAAAAAATTCCCATTTTTTTACATTAAAAGTAAGAACTAATTCGGGACTAAACAAATCGTCAAATTCTTACCTGATAAGATTGTTTCTCAACTAGTTAAAAATCCAAAAAACCTGGACGATTTGAATTAATGTTGTCTAACATTAATTGCTTGCTATGGGCTATGTGTGGGTCACGAGTGTATGTTCACATCGAACAATATAGTAAAATAGGAAGTATAATGCAGCAATTTAACCATAAAATGTAAACAGAATTACTTATATTTTGTGAAAAAGTGGAAATCAAATATATTTTTCCATTTTTACTATTTACGGTGACGTAATCACTTTAAAAAATAGCTATATCTCGGTTAATAATCTTCGCCTACAGACTTGAAAATTGACTGACAGACTGTAAATTTGGCTTACTGTTTCATACAACAACGTGATGCATGTGATCCCAAAAAGCGTTTTCGGCCACCATCTTGATTCAAATGGCCCCGCCGCTCAGTTTCTTAAAAAATAGCTATATCTCGGTTAATAATCCTTCGTACAGACTGTGAAAAATGTGCCACTGACAGACGTAATTTGCGGTTTACTTTTCATACAACAACCGTAGATGCATGTGACTTCCAAGAGCGTTTCTTAGCCACCATATTGCGCATTCAAAATGGCCACATAAAAAATTACAAACTTAGCAATATTTCTCGTCCACCGAAAAAGCATATCAGAGCTGTGAATAAGTTTGCAGACTGCGCGCAGCTGTAATAAGCCTCTTTTATATTAAAAACAAGACACACAAGTTCAATTATAATTACAGCGGCCTATATTGGGAAGTTTTCAATCATTGGCCGCCGCGATCACATTTTACGCGGTTAATGCTATCCCCCGGCGGGCGTGGAGTGCGAGGTGACGCGCAACGTGGCCCCCAGCACCAGTGCTTGGGATCAGTGTTAGATTAGCGCGTCTAGTGGTCAGCGTTAGGGTTAGCGGTTAGGATCAGGTGGTTAGGGATTAGGGTAGGGTTCAGGATCTACGCGGGTTAGGTTAACGGTTTTTTGCATCGATTGTAGCCTTGTTCCCCGAACCATAATTAATTTTGTGGATCACAATGCCTTATATTATAGCGCGGCTAAACATATATATTTAGGTGTTCGTGAGTCGTGTCTCAGGTGTTGCCGGTGTCTGTGTGGGGGTCTTCTAACGCCAAGTAGAGGGTTACCGTTAGGGTTAACGTTTTGAACGTCATCGTCAACGATTATCACGTTTTTCGCCTGCAGGGATAGCAACACCCACATTTTACTCTCTACTTCCATAATGATCAATGACATAGTGATAACAGATACACACAACATGGTCCGTGGAATTACGCGATATTTTCTCCAGTATATAACAAACACAATGCCAAACTGGCAATCGGCATCGCCCAGTTGAGTGAGATGATAATTCATAGACAACATGTGTAGTTATACAGTACACAAGAACATTGCATGGCAAGCCCTAAATAATTACTAATTGTTTAAAGTGGTCTACGTCACGAATTCTCTGCAAATTTTATAGTGAAACCTTATGTTTGTTAATTTTTTTACATCAAAAAGTAGTACTAGCGTAAATATATCCTAAGCTCTCACCTGATTCATAAATGTTTTTACGTTGCGGTTAAATTTGCCCCAAAAATTCTTGAACGATTTGAATGTAGTGTTACCTAACACTTATTTACACAATACTGGCCGTCACTCGGGTTGCTGCACTGGTTTGCCCCTGTGGTCGATGTCATCCGTGATTTGTGTATGGTGCACAAAGTGGTGCCCAAACAGCTTTCTGTTCTTGATTTGTGTTGGCCTATATAGAATATACAATATAGCCGAAAAATAAGATAATATATGCTCATGTGTATTCATGTTTGAAAAAATTATTCATTACAAAACGGCGAAAATGTTATTTGTTGTTTTTTTAATTTTCTGGCCCCAACAAAAAATGTTATGTGACATCCCCTTCAGGATCTGATCAGAAGCTAGGATAAACTAAACGATAAACAATTGGTGCCGGCAGGACCAGCTGCCAATCGGAAAGAAACGAAAGAGAAAAAGCAGAAAGAAGATTATATGAGAACTCCCGCTTTTTAAGTTACAAGGAATTTCATGGCCGTGCCCACAATAATTGCCCAATGCCTCGTCTTACGCAAATCGTTCGCTATATCGGCTAGCTGCGTAACTGGCGCGCCACACAATAATTTATCGAATTTCATGCGCGGTTGTTGTTGAATCGAACGTGTGGCTTACATCGAAATGCACCGCGCAAATTAGGGCAGCCTATTAAAGAGTTATATGAGCCATCGCACAGAAGTAAATAGAAACGCTAATCGTGTACTTTCTTCTATACATTTTATTTTGTACAAAATAACACACAAATCATACTACTTGGCTGCCGCAGTGCCCCTCGAAATTCGACTGACGTGACAGGTTTTTAGTTTAAACAAATGTCTCTGGAACTGCATTGTCCACCAATGTTGCTCGCAGTTGTCAGCTCAGCTGCGTAACAGTGTACCTTGCACAAACACAAATATAGTACTTGTATGTACTAGTATAGTACTTCGTTATGTGCGGCGTTATCGCGGGCGTATAGGTTCTCGTTATGGGCCACAGCCGCGGCGGTATATAGCTATCTCTGTATGTGCGTGCGTGCTGCTGCGCGATATAGCTTCTGTTGATGTCGCGCAGGGCCGCGCGCTGCCCCGCGCGCGTCCGGTGGCGGCGGCGGCGGGCGGGGGGCGGGGGGCGGGGGGCCGGGGGGCGTATAGTATCCTGTTATGTGCCTCATGGGCCGGTGCTCGCCGCGCGTATATAGCCTATCTGTTATGTGGTGCGTGCGTTCTCGCCGCGGGCGATAGGTATCTGTTATGTGCGTGCGTGCTCGCACGCGTTATATAGCCTTTTGTTATGTGCTATGAGTCGATGCTGGTGCTGTGCTTTCGGCGGTAGTACAGGTGTATACTTGGTCTGCGTAATTTGGTTGCACAGGCTGTATCATATTCACTTAGTTGTTACTCGGTATACTTGGCGTGCTCTGAAACTCCACGTAATCATTCTCACAGGCCGTTATCATTCTGGTATACCTGGTCATGTACTATTGAGCGTGCTGTTATGTGTCATGATAGCTAGATGTGCTATCCGTCGGTATACGAGGGCGTGTATACTTGTTTAATTGGTGCCCGCATCATGGTACGCCTTGACTATCGTTGCGTGTCGGTCTTGGGTGGTCGTGCATACTCTGCGCAGTCGATGGCGTCACCGTTGATAACATTTTGTAACGCGGCTATCTGTTAATATTTGGTGTGCTTGTGACTATGGGGCGTACTCGGTTGATGTATGTAGCGGCGGTATACAGGGTGTATAACTTGTTGTAATTGGTGCACAGGGCGTATACTTTGGTGTACGATACTTGGTGTCTAAATCTGACGCATATTTCACCTTGATACATCTGGCGCATCCTTGGCTGTACATGCTGCGCGTATGCGTCGATTACTGTGGCGCGCGTACTGCACGCGGGTGCTATACTTGTTTGTAATTGGTGCACAGGGCGTATACTTGGTTGCTACGATACTTGGGGCGTCTATAAATCTGACGATAATTTCGAACTCAGTTTGTAGTCAGAGCAGCTCATGTATGATATAGTGAACCTTGGTTGTCATTGTTTACCGCTTGGCGCCTTGATAGAGTTATCTCCTATTAAGTGCCGTGCGTGCGTGCCGCGCGGAGCGCTTATATAGTACCTGTTATCTGCGGTGCGTTCTCGCTGGGCGTATAGGCTACCTGTTATATGCTAGTGCGGTGCTCGCGCGCGTATATAGCTTTCTATTATTCGTGCGTGCGTTCTCGCGTGCGTATTACGGGTGACCTGTTATGTGCCATCGGTCTGCCGTGCTCGCGTGCTGGTCATGCTAGCTCTGTTATGTGCGTGCGTGTGCGCCGAAGGGTATACAGGTGTATACTTGTTTGTTGCCTCCGTGCAGCGCAGGGGTATACTAGTGGCTGTACGATACTTATGAGTGTCTAAATCTGACGATATACTCTGTTTCATGCTGCCTTGCGAGTTAGCTTGCTCGGCGTAGTGCTTGGTGACATGCGTATGGTCGTAACCGGTAAGGTGGCGGGGGCTCTACTTAGGGTGTCCTATAGTCTCATGTGTGGAATTCGGCGCCACAGGGCGATACTTGGTTACGATTTACTTTGGCTCTAGTAGTCCGTGGACGTACTACGTCTGTCCGCCGGCCGGTTGAACATTGAGTCGTATACTGGTGTTACATGGCGTATGCGTCGATATAGTAGGGGGTATAACAGGGTACCTGTTAGTGCTATACTTGTTTGGTAATTGGTGCACATGGCGTCACTTGTGTTGCTACGATACTTGGCTGTCTTAATTTCGTCGACCGAGTGATTCCGGTGGATACCCTCGTTCGCGGGCTGATACTTTAGGTATTAGTACAGACTGTGACGATTGCGCTCGCTCTAGTGATATGGTTCGGGGTGCTATAATCGCGTGGTGGCGTTTATACTTCTCTGCTGTTAGAGATTGTGCTCAGCCAGGGCCGTATACTTGCGTGCTACGATACTTGGTGATCTAAATCTCGACGATATTATTATCGACGTCTTGGATTGCAGTTGGGGCCCTTATAGTTTTATGGCTGCGTGGTACAGTGCGTATGGCTCGCGTAGCTATGGTATGCCTGCGCG